AATGCACCTTCACATGATGACTCACCTTTAACTCATCTAGGAGAGGGATACTTGATGACCATGGAACTTTAGCTTTTCTAACCTCAGTTTCAGCTCATTTATGAGACTCAGTATATGACTTTTACCACATTAACCATATACTAATAAAGTATCAAAGCAAACCGCTGCAGTCCATCTTACATTTTACTAGCATATCTACTACCAATGTGCTACTGAATTTTTGTAAATTACACACACAATAATAAATCTTTAAATCTGATCTGATAAATATACAAGCTCTGCACATAACACATTTGCATTACAGTACAGTTTACTGAACGTGTAAATGGCATATTGGTACTTAACCCAGCCATGCAGGTTTCAGCCTATTCCTCATCTTTTAATCGTTAAGCTGAGAGAACTCTGCAGGCAGTGTGCTTAGCCTGGAGGATGGGAGTTGTTACTCAACAATGATTCATCAGGATTATTATTAATATTATTTAGATAACTAGTTAACGAATTTATAAAGCCCCCATTACCTTATTGAATGATTATGTCTTTCTCATAATTCATTCGTGTTCTAAAGTGGGTCTCATTAAGTTCTTAAAGTGAGGGGAGCTGTTAAAGCCATGCGCCACCCCACAGAATAGACTCAGATGTTGTACTAAACATTTATTTCAACATGAATCCAAGAAGAGTTTCCACTTGAAGGAGTAAGTGGGGTACGGTTTTAAATAGTATAAGTGACAGTATATGTACAGACCCTAGTCAAGAGCTGGCAGATTGAGAGTTCAAACAGATTTATGACTACAGCTGCACTCTTGAAACACAGGGATTGTTAAGGTAGAAGGTTCAGATCTGCTGTGGTGAATAAGTAATTTTCCCAGTACACTTAATCTCCCATATACACTTCACTATAATATAATTGAGATATAGCTGGCTTCTTCGATACTTTTAAAACATGACTCCTTTTCACTATGTCAATAAAATATTTTTTTCAAAACTGTCCTGAAGCTATGGGCAGATGTGGCTCTAGCATGATTAAACATACTATTAGAGCTCCCCTTTGCTGCAAAGTGAAAACAATTCAATCATGTTGAATTCAGATTCCATGACAATGCTGTTTTTGGAGTGCAGGATAGTTGTGTTCAGAGGCTATCAAAAAATACCATGCTCCTTTTTGCTGGAAATATGACAATAGTGGAAGAGGGTGGGTTGTGGAATGGACATCAGCAACACATCTTGTATAGTTATGGAAACAGGAAACCATCTTTTCTTCTTTGAGTACTTGGCTGTGTTCATTCAACTTAGGTGATTCCAAGCAGTACCAATGGAAGTGGGTAGGAGTTCACAGACCCGGTTCTCTCTGGCCTGCTGAGTGATGGCATATTGGGCAATGAATATATGTACCCAGGAGCCCGTCATAGCTTGACCAATGTCCTGGATTATGATATGCACCAGAAAGGCTGCTGAGGATGCCTGCATTATGGTAGAGTGGGCTCCGATGGTAGTGGAGTGGGGACTGCCGCCAACTCATAACAAGTCTGAATGCAAAAGATGATCCAGTTTGAAATCTTCTGAATTGACCCTAGAAGTCCTTTCATCGTAGGAGCCATAGAGATGAAAAACTGGGTTGACTTATGAAAAGGCTTTGTCCTGTCTTGGTAGAAAGTCAGGGCCATTCTTTGTTTCCCATGGTGTTTAGGGTAACTGACTGGAAAGAAGATGTCCTGGCTCATGCAGAAATATTTACCACTTTGGAAAGAAAGGCTGGGTGGAGCCAGAGTTGAACCGTGCCCTTATAGAAGGCCATGTACTGTGGCTCTGAGGTCAAGGCTCACAACTTGAATACTCATCTCACTGATGTCACCACCACCAAGAAAGCTACTTTCCCTGATAGGTAGGACAAGGAGCATAAAGACAAAAGCTCAAAGTGCAGGCAGGTGAGCCTGGCCAAACTATGTTAAAATCCCACTGAGGGATTGGGCTGCACCTGTGGGAAAAGCCTCTCAAACCCTCTTAGAAACCCGACTGTCATGTAACATGAGAACTCCATCTGACCCTGGTTCGGCGGATGAAAGGCAGAAATGGCCACCAGATGGACTCTGACAGAAGAGTGTGCCAAGCCTTGGTTCTTCAAATGAAACTTGTAATCCAAAATCAATTGAAACAAAAAATGTGAAGGGGATATATCCCATTCACCTGCACAGTAGGAGACCCTCGCCCACTTTGGCAGGTAAGTCAGTCTAGTCAAGGGATTTCTATTCCTGAGAAGGACCTGCTGGACTGCTTCTGAATTGGTTTGTCCCTTGGGGTTCAGCTATGCCATATCCATGTCATGAGGTGGAGGGATATGAAGTTGGGGTTAGAGAGATAACTGTGATCCTGCAACAACAAGTAAGGTGTGAGGCATAAAAGACCAACTTGACTGAGTGAGGAGTGCTGTCAAAAGGCACTTCTTCTAGGACATTCCAGGATAGGTTCAACATTATTGTGAGGTAAGTATCACCACGAATATGGTAATGACGTTCTCCAAGTGGTGCCTGGACTAGGAGTAAACTGTAGTCAACCATTGCTACAGGGGTCGCATCTGGAGCCTGGCGTGGTGCATGACATAAATGCACAGTGCCATCTGACCTAGGAGGCATAGACAAATCCTGGCCATGGTCAGGAGAAATGTGGAAACTACTGCGATGAGGTCTACTAATGCCCTGAAACGTTCCTGCAGTAGGTAAGCTCTGACAGAGGTGGAGTCAAGCACCGCCCTGATGAATTCTATCCTCTGTACTGGATTTGTTTGTTGTTCACCAACAAGGCAATGTAGCCAGCAGCACTGTGACATCCCTCAGGGCCTAGAGCTGCCTTGTGACAAGCCAGTCATTGAGGTTTGGATAGATCTGGATACCACAATGTCTGAGGTAAGCAGCAACCACCAACATACACTTGGTGAATACCAGCGGTGCTGTTGCTAGGCCAAATGGGAGGACTGGAAATTGATAGTGGATAGGACAAACTGTAAAACAGAGGAAGTGTCTCAGACCCTCGAACATAGAAATGTGGGAGTACACATCTTTCAGATTGAGGGCACTATTTCAGTCTCTTGGGTCCGAGGAGTAAGTGATGAAGGCCAGGGAGACCAACTGGAACTTTAGTTCCTCTAAGTGGGTGTTCAAGTTTTACAATTCCAGAATGGGCCGCAGCCTGCCCTTGAGAATTAAAAAGTAATGAGAATAGAATCCCTTGTTCCTATACTCTAGAGAAACTACCTCCTCAGCACCTAACTGCGGTAATCCCTTTGCCTCCTGTGTGGAGAGACCATTGTGAGAAGGGTCCTTGAAGAGGGATAGGGAGGTGGGCTGGTAAGAAGGGTAAGAAAGCAGCTAAAGGGTGTAACCCTGTGCCATCAGCCTGATGTTATAAATGCCCAGGAAGAGAGAAAGGTGGTTGACAAATGAAGGAAGGGTCCAGGGAACAGTCTGGTAAGCCACCCTCAAGCAACCCCTCAAAATGGGTGTTTGCATGCCTGTTTGCTGTGGGTCGAGTCTCGCTTGGATGCAGATGGGGGCTGAAGGCTAAGACACTAATTACAACCCCAAGATTTCTTATGGGGAAGCTCCTAGTGAAAGTGGCTCACCTGACCCTTAAACTGTTACAGCTTAAACTGCTTGTAGGCAGGGCTGGGAACTTACAGGTCCAGTGTTTTCAAGGTCATGTGGGAGTCCTTAAGGAGCTTATTGTCTCTCTGTTCTGCTAAAAGGATTTGCCCATCAAGTGGGAACACTAATTACAACCCCAAGATTTCTTATGGGGAAGCTCCTAGTGAAAGTGGCTCACCTGACCCTTAAACTGTTACAGCTTAAACTGCTTGTAGGCAGGGCTGGGAACTTACAGGTCCAGTGTTTTCAAGGTCATGTGGGAGTCCTTAAGGAGCTTATTGTCTCTCTGTTCTGCTAAAAGGATTTGCCCATCAAGTGGGAGGTCTTGCATTGACTGCTGAAACTCTGTGGACAGACCA